AGAAAATTTATAGATTTTATTATAAAGTGCAAATTAGTAATACTGTATAATACCTTTTAAGAACTGAATTTTTGACAAATTTTATATATAAGAATGTACTGTTCAGAATAGAGAAGGTTGACTATAGATAAGTTGAGCTAGTTTGCATTGAAATTAGTGTTTCAGCTAAAACCTCCTCTCAGGGTCTGAACTGTTTCAGTTTTACCCAAAATCAGAAATCTCTAAAACAAGATAACAAAATTTATAGTTACAACTTCTTTCAGAACATTTCAGAAGTTTTGCCTAGTTTCCAATGTTATTTTATGCTTGGTTTTCCATGTGTTATAGTGATTCTCGCGATTTTATTGCTATAAGCTTTACCTGTTTTGGAGGTTTCAAAATTGGGCTTCTGGTGAAACTAGCTTTTGAAAGTTTTGGTTTAGGCTAAAACACTAGTATATTTGTTGTATCAAAGTAAAAAAAATTTATTGAATTTAGTTTGGTGCTTTTCTAAATATTTTTGTTTAAAATTTGTCAATAAATTAGACTAGTTGAAGTAATTTTTGGTTAATATCACTTTCCAGAACTCTTAAAAGAGGGGGAAGAAAGCAAATAAAATGATTATAACAAATTGAATTCAAGTTAAATTTAGTCTAGAGATTCTATTATAAAAGAGAGAAGCAAAAAATAAATAAATAAAAAATTATACGTATAATGCTTTTATCCTATATACAATTTTTATAGTCAAAACTTTCATAATCTAGTAATCAGATCTGCATCAGTATGTATACAGTAATCACAAATAGTAATTTTGGGTTTTTAATTTTCCAAGTTCCTATTGGTTGAATATAAATTTTGTCTCTTATTAAATAAAATAACAGATAACTTAAAAAATTAATATAAAAAAGTTTCAATTTGAATAATTGGTTTGTAATTGTTATTTTTATAAAAGTTAAATATTTATTTGAATATTTCTTCTTACTTATTAATACTAGTTTTTAAGCTCTTTACAATCAAATAAAAAAACACTTCAGAAGTTTTTTTTTTTAGTAGTTTTTTAGAATTGTTTCATTACAAACTGAAATAAACATATATAAGAAAACAGCCAAGAAGGAACTAAAATTTTGGCTTTACTTTTTATTATTTATTTTTTCTCATTTTTTTAATTATTTTTTTATTTTTTAATTCAGTTATAGCTATTATTATAATTTTTGGAACGTCTGTAAAAATTTGCCCAAATGATTTTTCTGCCAATCTAGTTAAATTATTAATTCCATATAATAAAATATTTAACAATGATTTTAAAATTTCATCCAAATGCTTGTCTAAAAATGTTTGGTATATATTAGTTTGTATAAAAATTTATAGAAAAAATTGTTCACGTCAACCAATAAACCTTAACAAGAAAAAACTAATATAAATTAGACTTTATAACAAATATATTGCTCAAACAGGTGTTATTATTAAAAAGTTAAATATGATTGATTGGCTTAAAAATGAATCTTGGGTTAGAATTCCAAGCAACCAAGATATTATTAATATTTGTTGAGAATGCATGAAAAATTTTAATAAATAAAATCTAAGTAAAAATTTTGTATATTTATATTTGTTTATATATACTGACTCTCATAATTATTGTTCTATTTCTTTTTTTTATTTTAGATCATGATATTTCATGTTTTATAAATCATATAACTAGTAAATTTAATGATATAAACCCTATATTTTAGATTTTAATCTAAACAAATTTGGTTAACACCTATTTTGTAGCTTTTTAAAAAACCTTTGATTATACACTTTTTATATAGTGCTATAATTATAGCATATTTATATAAGTAAAATAAAATATGCATTATGATATATCAATGCCAAAATATATAAATACTTGCCTGATTAATAATAGTCATACTATTGCTTTTTATGAGAAAGTAAGCCATAGTACAGTTTTAAAATAAAAATTTAAAGAAGCAAACTAGTTGCTTAGATGTTTTACCAAGACAAGGCTGTACCAGAATACTTACTACCTGCTACAAAAAAAGAATAGCATGGGAATTTAGGTCGAGTACTTGCTCAACTGCTGTCTAAGCCTAAAAAAAAATAATATCTGATAAAGGTATTCATGTTTTCACAAATACAATCTGCTACGCACTATGAAGACAAGATCTTGAATTACAGGTAAAAAAAAAAAACCTTTACTTCAATCAAAGACCAAAAAATTGCAAAGAAACTTTGCAAAAAAATATTGTAATTGGACTGTTGAAAATTGGCAAAGAGTTATTTTTTCAAACAAATCAAAGTTTAAAATTTTTGGTTTGGATAGAAGAGAGTGGTGTTGGAAAGACCTGAATTCGCTATTGTTACTGCAACACATAAAGCTAATAGTGAAATATGGTGGCAGATCTGTAATAGTATGGGGCTGTATGGGTGTGTATGGTGTTGGAAACTATTGTAGAATTAAGAGAAATATGAATAATGAGCTATATTATAAAATTCTTAAAGATAAGTTAATTGAAATGATGCAGACATGGTATTTGACAAACAATAACTTTGTCTTCCAACATAATAACAATCTAAAACATATGTCAAATATAGTTACTAACTGGTTGGATAAAAAAGAAATCGATATTTTGACTTGGCTACCATATTCCCCAATCTAAATCTTATAGAATATTTATGGAATAAAGTTGATTGTTGTTTGCTGCATCTTCCTGGTAATATTACTAGTGAAACAGATTTGTGAAATAAGATCTTGAAGGTATGAAATAAGATCAATGATGATTATGTTTTAAAGCTAATCAACATGATGCCTCAATGAATTAATGATGTCCTCAAAGCTAAAGGGGGTAGACATTGGACCCAATCAAAAAAATGCTACCCGGGTTACCCAATGGATAAATCCGAGTGTTACCCAGGTGATCAATGGATATACCCGAGTATAAAATTTTACCCAATATACCCGGGTAGACTTTAGTGTGACATTGTCAGCTTATAGTAATGTATTATATATTTGTATTGTCTAGTAGTGTCTAAACATTGATTATATTTTGAATAATCCATTATGCCTTTCATTTTCTTGATTAGGCCGTTCGAGGTTAATTTTTCAGTTAATAGGTGTCCCTTGGTAAAATGAACATATAAAAAAAGTAAAAATTAAAATTTATCATATAGCCACGAAATAATGTGATGGAATGTAGTTTCAAAATTTGACCTAAATTAAGCTTAATTCAGGCCAAATTTTGAAATAACTCCATATTCGCTATTTTATGGTTATATTGCAATATAATTAAAAAATAATTTAAAAAAATAAAATAAATTAAAATAAATTAAAATAAATTAAATTAATATAACTTAAAATAAAATAATTTAAATAAATTAAATTAGACCCATGGCTTTTTATAGTCCCGGCTAATTAAAATAAAAATAATATATATATTTTTTTTTAAAAAAAAACAACAAGAAAAAAAGATGAATAATAAAAAATAAAGCTAAAATTTTATTTCCCAGTTGGCTGTCTTCTCATATATGTTTATTCAGTTTGTAATAAAATGATTCAAGAAAACTACCGAAAATAAGCTTCTGAAGTGTTTTTTTATTCAGTATTAATGAATAAGAAGAAATATTTAAATAAATATTTAACTTTTACATACAAGTCAACTATTTGAATCGATACTTTTTTAAACCATCCAATTAGTAATTTATTTTATTTAATGGGAGACAAAATTTGTATTTGGCCAATAGGAACTTGGGGATTAGTAAACCCAAAATTCAGATCTGTGATCACTGCATACATACGTACATATGTATATACATACGTACTTTAAAAATAAGGCAGATCCAATCACGAGTTTTTGTGACGTATATACGAAGTTCTTTTTCTTGGATAAATGTATTATATAATTAATTATTTACTTATTTATTATTTGCTCCTCTCTTTTTAATAGGAATGTAATGTTAAATATTTGAGAATTAACGTCTTGGATATCTTACCTGGATATTACCCAGGTATATCTACCTGAGTATTATTATCTGGATAGATCTACCTGAGTATTATTCGGGTATTACCCGGATATGTTTATTCGGATAGCTGTAATTACAACCCGGATAGCCGACTATCCGTGAGTTAGGATACGAAATGGGCCAGGCCGGGCTGGGCTTGTCAAAAAAAAACCCAAACCCAAAAAATGTTTTTGAGCCCAAGCCCGGTCTAGTAAAAAAAAAATTTTTATAGTATGGGTCAGGCTGGGCTTGATGCAAATTAGGCTGGTCAAGCCCGGCCCATCAATAGTCATAACATTAGAGATTGTACCTGAGTAGTAATAAATTATCCAGATACATAATTTAATAGTACCCAGGTAGAGATTTTCTTGATGGGTACAATCTCTATATAATATGTATAAAATTAAATTTATGTTGAACAAATACTAAAATCACAATATTTTATTGATTTATTAAAGCTAAACATTTTAACTAGTATAGGATTATAAATCTATGAAAATTTGGTTTTATAAAATTTACATTAATAGTTGCAATAAATTATTCTTATAAAGGTTAAAGTGCCAAGGCATCCAATGTCAGAATTTATAATTACTCAGTGTTCAACCATTTTTTAATCCAATACCTAATTGTTAAATCAAGAATGTATTGTTAAATATTGATAAATTTGACTACTAAATTTAACCAAGTGTCAGTAAAAGATAAACTCACTATCTCTATTTTTTTTTCCTATTATGAAACATAAAAACAATTAGTATTTACAATAAACAAAAATTAAAATTAACATTTCAATACTTGCCTGGTTAAATCAAGTTTGTTCTTTTATGCTGTATATATATATAAGCCGAATAAATATCATCACATATATATATATATATATTCTGAATATTTAGTAATGTGAAAATCCAAAGCATATTTATTAGTAAACTTAGCCTTTAAGGTTCAAAAAAAATTATACGATTCTAAAATCTATAAAATCATATAAAAAAAAAATGGGTTGTTCAAATTATTTGTATTTACATCCTAATTTAATCAATATGTCTATCCAAGATTTGACTACAATAATAGCCTATTAATACTGAATAGCAATGATCAACTTGTAATGCTTCATCGTCATGGCCAGATTTCACTATACTTTGATAATGCTTGAGTGCCACAAGTTTATCCTTTGTAACTCCAATACTATTTATTAACTTTAATTTGATTATAGTTTTTGAGTTCTCTGTTTGGTAAATGGACATTAAATTTTGTAAATTAACTGCCCCATATAGAGAAATACAACTTACTAATATCCGGTAATCTATATACTTTCTAATACAAGTACCTAAAAAGTTAGAAGCAAAAAATTAGTTTAATTACTTCAATTATTAAATAAAAATAAAAACCCCAGTTCCAAATTCATACCACTTTAGTATGTTTAGCCTCGTTCTTCTGCATCTTTCAACCAATCTTGACCACAAATCAATGTCTCAATGGTTTCTGGATTAAGATTTGATTGATAATTATTTACAATTCTTCCTGCTGCACTAAACACCTGAATAAACAAAATATGTTATTTTAATTAATATAATACTATACAGAAACTTTGAATCTCTTAATACACAGTAACTACATAGTAACTATGTAGTTACAATTAAATTTAATAGTAATTATGTAATTACTATGTTGTTACTACGCAGTTACTGCATATTAAGACATTTAAGTTTCTGTAAAGTAGAGATCACATTTTCTCTTGGCATCACTTATTTAGCAGAAATTTATTTACTGATTCAGAAGCCACAGAAGCTACAGAAATCACAAGAATGTCTCTTGCATACATGCTACAGATAGATATCTTTGTTTATTTTCCTTCCACCAACCCAAAATGTCAAATATTTCTGTACAAGAGTGAGGGTGAAGTGAATCAGCAAGATATCATTCAAGCTTATTCATTTTAGTAACTACACTAATTTGATTTGCTACAAGATATCTGTCGAAGTCTTGTATTAATTCATCATCTTGTGAATTAAAATTAGAATACTTTGACAATTATTAGAAGCATCTGTATCTTGAATATATGTTGATCTATAAATCATCGTAGTTCTGTATAAAATAAATAGTTAGTAAATTACAAATTTTTTTTTTTTTCCTTCAGCAAGTCCTGTCATGACTATATGACCCCTCCAGTTATACCCAACTCGAAGACTAGTTACTGCATGCTTTTTGCACAGGACCTGGCCTGGACCTCTGGTACCACATTGGGTACCTGGATTTGACCGCCTGTACCAACATCCAGAGATGTTGGATCACCTTTTTATTGTACTGGGATTTCACCAGCCAATCTGGTGTCGCCATGAGTTCTTGTAGTATCTTTATCAGACTCGGCCTCCCATTATGTCTCGTGACTTCGGTTAATCCAAATTGGGGTTCTAACACACCTTGCTTCACAGCCACAACTTCTTGGAATAACTATTCCCTAAATACATCTATTCATAGATATCCCAGGTTCCCTGTACCCCGCAGTGTTTCACTTCCATTTTCGAATTTTCATTAATCTGCCATTGGAAGGAATTGAACCAGCAACTATCCGATTTGCAACCTGGGAGTATAACCACTATGCTATTGACCCACAGGTCCACTAAATTACAATAGATTTTATATTTAAAAATATTATAATAAGTTATTTACCTCCTTTTAATAAAATCAAGCTTGTCCTCAGCCTTAGTAGGTAGCAAACACATCTTATACTTAATAATAAGAGTTAATAATGATATTTTATAATGAGGATCTATTATCGATGCAATGCAGTGTACATTACTAGTATCCATCCAGTATTTATTAAACTTAGATTCTATTGGTATGATCATTTGACAAATAAAAGGATCTATATTTGTAGCATTTTGCTCAATATGTAACTTAATTTTTATAAGATAAGGAAGGAAAATATTTGCTGTTGAATACATGCTTCCTGATATGATATTTGTAACTATATACAGTATATTTAAATAACTAGTTAGAATACACTTTTAATAAAATTTATTATCACATTTGTGTGAAATAATAACTGTGGGCATTATTTCATACAAATATGATAAAAATTCACTATTACCTTTATAAAATAGTTTTAAGAAATCAGAAATACTCTTAGCTCTCTTCCAATCTTCTTCAGAAGGCATGATTTGCTCAAAGTTAATATCCCGTAATGCAAGGTGCTCAAATACTCTTTTATACGAAATGGTAGATTTTAGCATAATGTAAACAGAATTCCAACGAGTAGGCACATCAAGCACTGGCCTCTGACTTCTTACAAGCTCGGGGCAGCACCCAACAATCGCATCCTCAAAATTTTGTAACTGGGACTGTGAACTGTGAATCCATTTTGTGCATTCTCTGATTTTGCCAACAATATTTTTAACCTTTTTGAGACCATCATTAACAATTAGATTTAATACATGAGCACAGCATTGTTGGTGTAGTGAACTTCTTTCAGCAACAAGCATGTTTTGCTCATCAAGTTTATGCTTTATATTGGTAATTGCGGTATCATTACTGGTGCTTCCAAGTTTTATCTATAAAATGACAGGTAACAACCATATACCCGAGAGTTTGATTCAATGTCCACAAGTCAGTTGTATAACTTAGACATCCAGGAGCCTCTTCTATCATTGTACGGGCCTTTGCTTTAAGTCTTTCAACAACATCAATACAATCATTATAAACCGTTTTTTTACACACTACTTTATATTTTGGTTGTAAATTATTAATAAACTTTAGGAATCCTCCATGCCCAACCATGCGAAATAAATATACATGTCTAATAATCTTTTCAGTCATGTCTTGACAGCTTGTTTTTTGAGAAAACTTATAGGCGGTAAGACCTGATGCTGATAACAGCAATGTTTGTTGTGATCCATTATTTAAATACTTCTTACATTTTGTTTTTTTCAAATGACGAATTAAAGAGCTAGTGCCTGTCTCATTATCATGCTTTAGAACATTATTACAGTATGTACATTTCGCATAATTGGCTGATAAATTATATGGTATAAATATTAACTAGTTCACAAACTAATAAATAACATTATAAACAATGATTATTACGTTTTTCAAGATCATGATATATGAAGTGGCCTTCTTTAAAGACCCATGATTCTTGCTTAGTTCTTTTACGTTTTTTACAGCGGTTATTTCAGGACTTTTAGTAACAGTAGTTGTTTCAGAACTCTTAGTAATAGTGGTTATTTCAATACTTTCATCAGCGGTGGTTATTTCAGAACCTTCATTATTCCAAGAATATTTTGAGCCTCTAATCAATATATAATAATAGATTAAAAAATTTAAAATATGCAAAATGTAGTTTTCTAGTATATCAATTTTTTATGCACCATAATCCATTTTATTTTAAACAAATTATTCTTTAGTACTTTTGAACGATGTAATTTTAAAAAAGAGCCTGTTGTTAAATCTGATTCTTGACTCATACTTTTAAAATATCGAAAGTCTTCTCTCTCTTGAGTTATATAAAAATACCTTATAGGTGCACCTTTATAATCTGCTTTTATCTGATCCAAAAAATTTTTTTATTTTTTTATTTTATTTAACTTGCCTAATTTTTTCCCAGTTTTTTATATATGTACATATGTATAGTATGTACGTATGGTATAATTTGTTTTATCTGTGCACACCAAACTTACTAGCTTGGCTTTTTTCAACAGCACACTGCAAAAACTTGAAAATATTAACTTTCCTTCGTTATACATTATCTACGTATCATGTCTTTATACCTAATACGTGTATAAATTAACCAATCAAATTTGCCCCAAAATAGAACCCAATTTTACTTATCATTATAAAACCTTATAAGCACTCTTATAGGCCCAATGGGCCCAACTAGGTATGCATATAAAGCCCAAACCCGGCCCATTCTTAGTAGGGCCCAACCCAACCCGGCCCACAAAAGTAATGGGTTTAAAATTTGAGCCCAATTTAGACCCAAGCCCGGCCCAGCCTACAAATTTCCAGGTTTGGCCTGGCCCATTTCGTACCCTACCATGGGTAAACTGTTTAATACCCGACCCGGGTCCAATGTCTAAAAGGGGGTATACTAAATGGTAAAAAAAATTAATTTACTTAAAATAAACTAAAAAATATATATATAAAAATTTTTTTAGTTTTATGCCAAAATTATTGTTTCACAAAGATTGTGGAAATTTAAATTTTTTTAAAAAAGTAATAAATATTTTTTTGCAAAATTCGAAATTTAGTATAATTTTTTAAACTGAATTTTTCGTCTTCGACAAGAAATGAAGAATAATTAGAAATGAATAAATGCTACTATTACACGTGAAATCGACCTCTTAGAATGACTTCCGGGAACTATGGTTTAGTCTATCACAAACTAATGAATTAGTGGTTTGGTAAGTTAAGAGGCGTCAGATGAACGACCTATCAAGAGGTTTTATTAAGGCTTTTACGAAAGAGGCAACAGCTCAAACGGAAGATACGTAGGGCTGGAATTACTGGAAGAATCACGAGTCACACATGATTAAAATAACAACCAGGAGTCATGAGTCACACGTGAGCACGGCTTTATGAATTTAGACGTGTATGGAGACACGTAAGAGTTTATTAATAATAATAAAATAACTGTATGAAGACAGTTAAAGAATTACAAAGTAGAGTATTCGAAACTAGGTTATTAAGGGAACTATATATATGAAGATATATAGTTAAGTGATGTCAAAAAACTGAAGAGCTAGCTAGGCTAATTCACGTCCTTTATATAACAAACGCGGCCATATAATTATTTACAATAGATGACTACATTACTATTGCTATCTATTGATCTATTAATGACTTATCCCACTATTCTTATCAACACCAATCCCTTCACTATTTCACGCGCATTCTTCGGTTCTCTTTCTTTACTGAGTCTTGCCCGGGCTTGATCCGTCACAATCTTAATAATAACTTAGTGAAAAGCCCTTAAGCTTATTCATTTCTTGCTCATCTGCATGGATGACACAGGTGAAATAAAGTTTTTCGTTGAAATAATGGCAGCAATGAGACCAGTCTGGGGTTGGGATCATCAATGCCGTAGCTAATAGACCCTTTTAGGGATTACCATTGATGTCGCGGCATATGTTGTCCCTACGCTACACATCACCAATATCGGGACTGATATGGTAACTAAAAGTGATGTGTATGGTTTAACAATTTGGGAAAATGGGGCCCTGTGTATAATAATACAAATAAGTGGCAATACAAGCATTAGTAAGGTGATCGCCC